CAGATGCTCCTGCAGAAACTTTGGTGGCCTCTGGGCTTCCCACGCCCTTGGCAGGGCTAAAGGCAACACCACTAATTCTTATTCTACAAGCGTCTTGAGCTCTGGTTTCAAATTTCCTTGCTCTCCCCAGTTAAGGACGGACTCTTGGCGTTAAGGGACCTGGAGTTGCTTATAGTCTCAGAGGCCAGAAACCTTGCTCAAGCTCAGAATTAGTAATTTGCAGAACCTCTGTCCGGGAAAATTTCTCATAAATGGGGCTCCAAGGTCACCATGTTCATTAAGTGGTTGCTGTATCCCCCCTCCCCGCCCCCCGCAGCTACCCTTTAACTGGCGATGTCTGCAGGCATGCCCAGAGACTTTTAAGTATGATGTGCCAAAACTGGCCGGGGCACTTCCACAGCGCCCATGGTGGGTGCATGAAGCAGGCTGGGGGAGGGGGTGGGGGGCCTCCACACAGCAGGCTCACCAGGCAGTGCACAGCTGGAAACTAACCCTTGGGGGATTTAAAGAGGTCACCTGGCAACTGTGAGCCTCCTTGCACCCTGAGTTGCTGGAATCTGATATTTCCTGTTACTTGCGGAACATGTAGTTGAGGTTATTTCAATTAAATGCACATCTGTGCTCAGTATAGTCCTACCCGGCCCTGTGTTATGTAACCATGAACTTTCCTTCTGGGTTGGGATCCTAGCTGCAGGCGCAGCTCAGTGAATCTGAGACCTGGAGTCCCGGCTGGGCACTCAGGCGGTGCTGCCTCTGGCTGTGCCTGGCCTTGCAGATGGTCAAGAGGGTAAATTCTCTCTCATTGTCTCTCTATCTCTCTTTGTCTTTTGTTCTCTCTCCTTCTCTAGACACACACACATCTCTCTCTTATCAGCGAAAAGTTTGCTCCTAAGAATTATTTCCATGTCTGAAAACAGACATTCTGCCCGCAAAGCATTTATCTGTTAGGTCACTGTGGGTGGTCAAGTCAAGATTCTGCCACCCATGGTTCGCCAATACACAGGAGAATAACACCTCACATAAACCAAGTGCAACACACAAGGACCGCTGGCCTTCTCGGCACCTCACTGTCGGTCCGTGGTGCTCAGTCCAGGCACAGTGGGATTCACTCTGGGCTGTCGCTCATACTTTGGCAAGAAGTAGCACTTCCACAAAAGCTTTATAAAGTTTGTTTAGCTCACTTGCAATATTTTATTTTAAATAATTCACCCAGACCGAATTTAATTCTTTTCTGTTGGAAAAGGAGAATGTCCCATGTTAATAGAACACAGCAATGCTTTTCATAGTTCCTTCAGGTCTAATTTTAAGAGGATTCCTTTGCCCCCATCCCCACCCCAATTTTGATAGAATCACTACTGTCCTCTCAGACAACTGGTTAGTGCCTCAATTACTGCTTCCTACCTACAGAATTGTCAATTAACCACTATCTCTGACTGTCGCTAGGAGAGGCCAATAACATGTTCTGCACCATGAATTCATTTCCTCTTTACCTTGCAGAGGTCTGAACAGCCCCAAGTACTACCAAGACAGACTAACTCTGTCAATAAGGCAGGCATTCTGTGGGACTTTAGAAACAGATGATGCAATGTCACCACTGCTGAAATAGGGTGACATACAGCTCACTATTACAGATAATCAAAGCAAAACTTAGGGTAGCGACACTATGTAATCAACCCATTTCATGTATGTGTGAATGGGCGGATGGATGGATCTAAGTACTTATTCCTGCCTCCTGCCCAAAAGAACTGTGAGGAGTTTATAGGTGTACATACTAAGGGATTTGCCACACGGAAGGGCAGATGTAGAAGATGAAGCCGGAAGTGAGCTTATTACTCAGAGATGCAGCCATTAGAGGCAGGCTGCACATGAACTTCTAGCTTCCTAGCAACTAAAGCAAAGATGGTGACTTGCAATTCATCAAGATATAATTATGCCTTTATATTTTTTAAAAAAATATTTTATTTATTTTTAGAGAGGGGGGAAAGGAGGAAGAGAGGGAGAAAAACATCCATGTGTGGTTGCCTCTTATGCGCCCCCTACTGGGGACCTGGCCTGCAGCCCAGGCATGTGCCCTGACTGAGAATTGAACCCACAACCCTTTGCTTTACCGTCTGGTGCTCAGTCCACTGAGCCACACCAGCCAAGGCTCCTTTATACTTTTTTGTATGGCTAGGCAATGAAACTACAGAACTACGTTCAATGAACTCCAGAGGCTTCTAGTCTTCTGTGTTTCACTCCCACAGAGGGGCGCCCTTGCCTCCTTCTCCCGCTGCAGCTAATCACAGCGTGCTGAGAGGGTGTTACTGTTACTAGTACTGCAAGTGTTCATTTCCGTATTCACCTTTGCTGGGAGTATCAGTGGCTCTCAAGCAGGGATGATTTTGCTCCCTAGGAGACATTTGGCCATGTCTAGAGACCTTGTCAATTGCTGTAACCTTAGAGACAGGAGTGTGACTGCGTCTATTTGGTAGAGACCAGAGATGCTGCTAAACATCATACAATGCGCAGGCCAGGCCCACAACAAAGAGTGAATTATCCGGCCAGACTATCAGTAATGATGAGGTTAGAAATCCTGCAGTAACTAAAGGGTAAGTATGTGTGTGATTTTGTTTGAATAAAATGGAAATCAGTCATTTTTCTGGTTTTAGAGAATAGTGGCCTTAGTTTTCACTTCAGCCTCCATTCGTCTGCTCTAGAAACCCATATATCAGAAGAGATTTCAGAATTGGTGGAAGGGGTAAAAAACAAGCCCAAACTTTTCACCTGGACCCTGGTTATAATAACAAGTGAACTTCAAAATAGGAGCCCTTCCGGCCACGGCTAAAGGACAGCAGAACAAGTCTACCTGGAAGTGTTATGAAGGTCTGGGCATTGCTTAAAACAATGGGAAGTCACCCCATCTCTTAACTCAATGAGAACAAACAAATTTTGCCCAAATAGAATGTGTTTTACAGGCCCAGTGGAATAGCTGCTGGACAGCAGGCAAGAGTAAACAGAGGGAGCGAACACGGAGGGAAATGGCGGAAATAGCCGTGTGATGATCTCATGCAGAACCCCATGCCGGGGCTCCTCCCACCCCGACCTGCTGGAGGCAGGTGCACCGAGTTCATGGCCTCCTGGGCGCCCCTCCAGCTGGGTGGCTTTCACTCTTGCCGATTGTGTCTATCGGCGACAGAGGTTGTGGGCTCCTTCACGTGTTTCACATAATATTTAATATGGCTGGTTGAAACCTTGGTTTGATTGTGTCATGCTCATCCTTCTATTTCTCTTTTTTTCCCCCCTAGTAAACCACCAGTATTCTAGATATGGAAAGACTAACCCATCATGGGCAAACCAATAATGAAATGCAGCTTTTCTCTCAACTCTCTCCATAATCACCGTCTTGACTCTTCGAAGATAAAGTCAGGGGATTCAGGAGGCAGGCTGTTTTTCTGTATGAGGCTGGCCATGTGTTTCTGTGAACACGGCCATGTGTTTTTGGGAAGCGGCGTGATGGGCATATGTAACCTATCTGTGCTCACGCAAACTGAAAGGTTCGTGAGAAAGTCAGGGGAGCTCCTTTGAAGTCTGCCTCCGCTTCAACTAGGAGATGCAACACTTTCTAGGGAAAGGCAAACAACTCCGCCGACACGGGTATGGAAAGCCATCCATTTAGACTCGACTCCGCTCACCCAGAAGGGACTGGGGCTAGAGGCGGCCTCCAAACCATCTGTGAACGCAGTTTCCTCAGAGAGGCTGGAAGGGTGATTAAGTGTAATAGCTTATCCGTGTATTTCAAAATCCCCTGCTGTGTTAATCAGCCAAATCGGCCTGCCCTAGTTCCTGGGCTCCACTGAGTCATATTTTATTGGCCTCCTTTGAGTTATTTTACTGCATTTGCTCTAAAGAAATATTCCTTTATGAAATCTATAATTTAATTTTCATGGATTCAATTAGTACTTTTATGCAGTGTATAATGTAAAATTATTTAACAGCTCTCCATCTCAAGACTTCATGACATCATATGTGTATATTATATATAAAATAACGTAATGATATGACATAGATAATAACATATATCTCACATACATATATATGTAAAATCTCTGTATCTATTGTCCAAAGTACGTCAGACAAGCGAAATAAACAAACCAGTCCCCACGTGAAGGCCGCTTTCAACCATCCACAAAGCCCATTTCTCTCAGCCTGACTGGCTCCTAAAATGCTTTCTAATAGATTTGATGGCTTTGTTAATTCTGCTTTTCATAGTTGAAAACTAATTAGATTGGGTCATTACTATTTCTCCTCTTGCCAAGAAACACTTCAGAAAGCTATCTCAACGCCATACGAATTTGAGGAAGTCATTAAATTTGCTACTAGATCCAGGCAGCCACCTGCCCATGGGGAGGACACGGGGCGTGTTGCTCTGCATGATCTGTGTGATTAGTGGGGTGGCCTCTGACTTCTTTCAGGATGGCCACGTTAGAACTCAGGTGACAATAACAGGCTAGCCCAACCAGTGCCCGGCCAATGGCCTCTTTTTTTATCTTTGCTGACAGCAACATGGATGCGCCCAGGTGAGAAGATGAAGAGGTGGGAGTTGGAGGAGGGAGGAGGAAGTGAGTACAGCTGTTTGGCTTTATAGTGATTGAAGGAAAATCCCTCCTAGCCTATGTATACTGTTTGGTTTTACTGGATACTGCTATGTTAGCCACGAGGACTGCAAATGTGATTGGAAGTTAAAATGCACACAAAGTTATCTAGTTCTTCTTAAAACCTCACCCGATCATTTATCTTCTAAATTTTCCATAGCCACAAATTCTGATGGAAACGTCTACTTTGGTCTCAGTTGTGCTTCTGTGAGGATTGTAATGGACTTAAAGTGTTTGTATGGAGCTGGGAGGATCCCATCTTCTACCCACAGAAACAATGCACACAGAAAACTTACACCACCATTCTTCTTGCCGCACTATAAAGTCGAAATGAACATTCATGGTACATTTTCAAAGGAATAAACTTACTTTCAGTGCAAATAGGACAGCATCCTTTTCTGTTGAGAATTTTACCCTAATCAAGAGAAAAACAAAGAAGAGTTTAATGTTAAGAAATAGGGTCTGCTGAGGACAAAACTCTTTCAAATCCAATACCAGATAGGCCAATGAAATTGGTCCAAGCTGTATCGGAACTCAGTACCCCAGTGGTGATGATGATGGTGAACATGAAGTTGCAGGCATCAGCTTCTCAGGCCAGGGAAAGCCATTCAGAAAGCTTTCCTGTTTTGATCCATCGAGAAATATCTAAAGGACTCATTGCTATGTCTTTTCTCACTTGGAGGGAAAATGGAGGCAGTCTAGATTCAGCCTCTTCACTGAACCCAGATCTAGTCCTCTATGAACCAAGAGTACACACACACAAACAGGAATTGTCTGCCCGCCCACCAATCCAGCTAAGGCCTCCCTCCTGCTCTGCTTCTTGGAGGGGCCCAAAAAATCAACATTAACCCAAGTAGAGGTCTATGGTTAGGGAAATGTCTATGATGCAGATCCAATTCAGCTGGATTTCTTCTTTCGGAAATGGCTACGCAGTCAAAGCCAATGAAGCTGAGAGTTTTGAAATGCTGAGTAATTTTCCATTACCTTTCTGGAAATACAGTGTAATCTCCTAAAATGCATTTCTTCCAATTTTTTTTCACATGTGGCATTTAAAGGAGGATGCATATTCTCAGGGCCCATATCTGAAAATGGCACGTTCTCATCTCTGATTCAGTGGGACTCACAGCGAAGAAGTGCGGAACAGATTAACATTTACCAAGCACTTCACTATGTAACAAACACCCTTCCAGGTATTTCCCTTAAGTTACCCAACATCAGGCTAGTGGTAATGATTTAATAATTTAACACTGAAAACATTTAAGGCTTAATTCATATTATATAAAATAATAATAATTATTATTAAGATGCCCAAGAACTTTATGAGCTGAGTATTTCCCTTTTATAGGTGCAGAAATTGACATCATGCAATGCAGCAGTGGTAGAACCAAAAATCAAGCCTAACTTTGAGTCACCTTAATGGCCATGAGCTGTCCCCTGATTTTTACCCTCTTTCATCCTTTACCGCTAAGAGAATTTAATATTCATTGGATATCTGCTGTGCATTCTTCATATTTTATCCCATTTAAACTTCACAATGACCCTCAATCAGGGGTGTCCAAACTTTTGGCGTCTCTGGGCCACACTGGAAGAAGAAGAGCTGGCTTGGGCCATACATTAAATACACTGTGACACATAATCACAAAAAATCTCAATGTTTTAAGTAAATTTACAATTCTGTGTTGGGCTGCATTCATAGCCATCCTGAAGGTGTCCCTACACCTGATTATAGGAAAGTAGAAAAGAAAGATCACAGAGAGGGGGCCCAAGGCCTGTGTCAAGGCCACATAGTTAATATAAGGCTCACTCACTCATTCGCTACTGGTTGGCTTCATCAAGAATAGATTTAGGTACTCAAAAAAAATCACACTGACTCGAAAAATGCTGATTTATAACTCAGTAACCAAAACCACGTCGGATTCATTTTTCCATCAGCCAGACCTAAATGAAGGCTATGGTGACGTTGAGTAAGACTTAAAACTCAGTCCCATCCAGTCACCCCATGGTTTGAGGCATCACCACGCATCTTCACAGCCTAGAGCTCTCATCTCTATTCAGCACACAGGTCTCCTTTGGCTTCTCGGACAGAAAGCAGTTGAGAACAAAGCCTCAACTTCTGTCTCAGGGGTTTGTCTCAGGCCGATGGCTTGATGGCCCCAGGGGATGGGTAGGTGTCTATACAAATGGAACAGAGCTGTCTACTGCCAAGGCCCCAACAGCGTGTGGCGATATGACCCCCTACGTGTGCACATTGGCAGAAACTGCCATCAGTTTCTTTAGAAAATGTAAGTGGGGCTGGTAATCATCCTAAAGTCAGTGGGGAATAAATCAAACACAAACTATGAAGTAGGAGCTCCTGGGTTACACATAACCAGCTGTGAAACTCTAGACAGGTTGTGACCTCATCCGTAGGAAGGGTGTAGTAGTAACACCCACTTCAGAGGGGTTGGTCACGTGACCTCAGAGCCAGTCTCCACGGATGTTAGTGATGAGATGACAGTGTCAGAACAGCCCTGTCCCCAAGGGACCCCACCTAGCCCTTCTCAAAAAAGGTGCTCCTTTGTCTCTGGGGAGTTGCCAGAGAGGGTGGACAGGAAAATCCTTGCTGAAAATCCTTCTTCGGCAAGGCACACGTGCTTCTGGGAAAGGGATGTGTAGCCCTGGGGCAGGGCAGGGAATACAGGATGATTCTTTAGACTTTTCAAATTTCCCCAGGCAATGCAGGGGCAGGGCAGTAAGTGGTTAACGAGGCCACGGAGTGCGGAGAGTGGGAACCAGAGGGATCATTGGAAAGATGTTTAGAAACAGAAAGGTGGCCCCTGAGGCAGGAGCCGGGCACTGACAAGCTTGGCCACGACGAGGGTGGTGTGACCTGGGGAAAAGGCCCGTCACTGGACGCACAGAGACCCCTGGCCCAAATGTGGAAGCAGCCGGGGACACCCAGAGCGCTGACCTCCCCGCAGCAAGAGAACAGTGAAAACCAGGAGCCCCGCCACCCACGGCGCGGCTCACATGCAGCCGGACCCTCCACCCCGGCCTGCTGAGCTCGGTCCCTGAGCCACCAGGTGGCCGCAGCGCCCAGTTCTTGTCTTGCAGCCTGAGGAAGCCCATTATTGCCAACATGTGCTGCAAGAGGTCGTTAGCAGGGAGGGTTCCCCGAGGCCTGGCAGAGAAGATGTGACCTTATTTTCCCAATGAATATGTATAAGTAGACCATGTGCAAGTCTATGTGCTGTATCTGTTTTTTTTTTTCCTCTGTCGTCTTTTATGGGAGGTTTTCAGTTTTATGTCTGAGGCTTTCTAAAGCAAGTCTAATTAGGGATTTTTGGTGGGTTTTTTTTTCCACTTCTTTCTCCCCTCTTTATTCAGTTGTGCAATAGCAACAGCTGTTGTTTCTTGTGCCTCATTTGGTAGTCAAGCAAAAACAGCACCGTTTTGTTTACAATAATAACAGATGTGAATAAAATTAAAGGCTGTCGATAACAGAGAAGGGCGAACATGCCCTGAATCGGTGTATATGTATTTTTTTTTTCATTCACTGGAAGGTATTGAATAGGTTTGACATTTTCCCAAAATGCATAAAACTTTGAGAGGTTTCAGGTTGCGAAGGCGAGTTCACAGAGGCCCACACTTAGAGGATAATGGCTGCTTTATTCGGCGCCGGGACTGTGGGCTTCTGAAAAGAGGTCTTTCCACAAGGACGTGAGTTCCATTCGGGGCTACCATGGAGGCCAGGGTTCGAGGGGGAAAACTATAGGGGGCAGGGTAGGGGGAGCTGCCAGGCTGAAGAAAACCCTTGAGAAATTTCCTGAGAAACAACCTATGACTTTGAAAAGCTATGAAAGTAAGTCCCTGATCTGAGAGGGGAGAGAGAGAGAGAGAGAAGGAAAATGCAAAGGATGCTGCTGATGTTCAACAGAAAACCCAGCCACGGAAACAAGGGAGCGGACCTAACAGGAGTTGGAGACATTGAAACAAAGAATGGGGCAAGGTCATTAAGAAATAGGAGAGCAGAGATGAGGGAAAGGTGGGAGCTATTTTCACACAAGACTAGAATCTGGGTGGAAACTGCAGAAGAGTGGGGGTGAGCTTTGCAAGGGGCATGTAGCTCCTGGGGAACGTGGAAGTTCCAGGGGGTCTGGACTCGGGGACCAGGGGACCGTGCCACACACAGGATGTTTCCCAGGATGCCCAAGCAAAGGCAGGTCAGCCTGTATCCCCCACATACCTGCGGGCAGCTGCTGATGGGGGCGCACTGCTTCTTGCGACACTCCGCCCTGCCTTTCACGCAAGCACAGATGGTGCAGTTGACAGAGGACCACATCTCTCCATCCTGGGAGAGAGAACACAGATCCTGCTGTCATCTGGGGGCGGAGGGGCACTAACCCAACAGGCTGGGCTTCCTCTGCCAAGGGAAGCACTTTGTACCCTGGGCGAGGGATGCCGACATTAGACTAAAGAACTCGGAGGCATCTACCTGCACCTGACCAAATGAACGTTAAGATTAGGTTTGCATGTGTGCGCGCGTGTGTGCATTCCCCTCCAGGATATAAAAAGAATTTGTGGGCAGCTAAGTCCTATTTGCATCTTGCTCCCCCTGCTTTGGGAGACAAACAGGTGTTTTCACACATGATGTAATAACAAAGACCTAATTTTTCCCGCTGGGTAGGACAGAAACTTTCAAGCCGTGCCAGGCACCAGCTGATAACTGAGCTGTCCAAGGCGGTCGGTTTATCCCCAGAGACGACATGGTTCTGGACCATACTGGGCCCCGACATGCCAAGAACAGAGGCTGGTTCAAAGGACTCCCAGGGCCCAGGCTGACACCTGACCCGGAAGTCGTCTGAAAAGGTGAGGCCCAGCCAGCAAAATGCAAGAGCCACTCACACCGTGTCCCTGCCTGTCACATACTCTTCTCCCAAAAAGGTGGGAAGCACATGCGGATACATTTTCTAGCCCAGAAAGATCTGTTTGAAGAATTTCTTTGGCTAGGTACAATTCTAGTCTGCAAATGCCGAATGCCCAGCTGCAAGAAGCCCCGCACCCTGGAGAACACTCAGGGCTGTGCATCCCTGCTTTGGGGAAAAGAGATGGCAGGCAATAGCGCTGGGCCTGAAAACATATCGGAGTCCTTCCTGGGCTGGGGGCTCTAAGCGGCAGATTTGCTAAAAACAGAGAAACAAGCTAGGGTCTGCCATGTAGACTGCTCCGCCTTCTAATTTTTCTGCAGCTGTGTAAGGACTGTCTACTCCCTAAGGACTTTCATTCTTCAGGAGAAGAAGACCTACCTGAATCTGTCTTAAAGGACATCAGACTATTCCAGAGTCTCCAAATGCACATTTCTAGGGCTCAGTTACAAGGATGACCCTCTGTCAATGACTTCGGGACTCGGTCACTTAAAGGACCCTCGTACAAAGGAGCCGGAAAAGCACTTTGCACACACAGCACCTCCATAAGGACGAGTCGCCGCACCTGGGTGCTGTGGGCAGGGGTGACCTCAAGGAAAGAGGGCATCAGGGGCTCTGAAAGCCTGGGGTGCACGCCACATGCATATGCCCCCTTCCCTTGGGCATGACACACCACGTCTTCTCACCGATGCGGGAGAGCCAAGACTCTCCCTGCTGCTCCGTGGGGTGATAGGAAGCCTGGCTAAGGGCGGCAAGCCCGAGGGGCCTCCACAGGTGACTGGATCATGAAGAGGCACCTTCAGGTACAGAGAGACCCTCTCCGCCCCTGGGGAAGATAGACTAGATGGGAAGCACTTTGGACAAAGTCAACGATATTCACCCTGAACTTTACATGGTCTCTGGGCAGCTTCCTACCTGGGCCGTTGGACAACAAGGTGGAACACACCTGAGGCAGGAGTGGCCAGCCAGCAGACAGCTCTGATGGCTCAGCAGGGGGCACGCGCGCCCCCTTTGCTGAGCTCCTGGGCCGCCCATGTACACCATGAACAGGCATCCTCACCTGAACATCTTCCAAATGAGAGAATCTCCCTTTGCAAAGCAACGGTGTGAAAAAGGCCCAAGAGCGCCCAGCTCTAGGCCTGAGCCATCCCCGGGCACTTAAGCACCTGTCACTGCACCATGCAGGGCAGCTTCAGATCAACCCCAGTCCCAGGCCGGCCACATTTGGAAAGGGCAGTAACGTTTTACCCATTTAAAATATTTCACAAAGCAAAAACAAAGCATATTTCAAAAGAAAAATTTTTCAGAGGAAAACATTTTCAAAACAGTTGCTTCTCTGTCCTTATGTACTTGATTCTAAATATATAGGTATATATAATAAGTAATTATATTATAGATTAACACACATATGTATATGCACACATATACACACAAAATACGGAAGACTCCAGTCTGCATTTTGTGTGAAGCTTTTTACAATTCAGCCCAGCCCAGGAGTTGCCATGAGCTTGGCCTCTGACATACCCGAAAAATCTTGTTGCCAAACTTGCACACTTTGATGTCCTCTGGGGGCACACGTAGGAGGCACTCCTCACAACAGGCCCCCGCGCCCTTGTCGCAGCCACCGGGGTGGGAGCACTTCTTCTTGCATACTACAGTAGAATTCTGGGGGCCCAGAAGCAAACTAGAGATTAACAAGGATGTCCACCACTACCACGCATCCTCCCTGGCTTCGCCTTAACAACCCCCAACAACTGCTTTCAAACATATTCTAAAGATACCACATTTTAATTCATCAAGTTAACAAGTCTTTTGTCCACTTCCAAGTGTTATTTGTTGATTAAGTATCTGGACTATGAAAAGTGCGACACACGCTCCCTACCTTCCAAGGGTTTATAATTTAATGCTCGAGAGACTGAAGATACTGCTTCAGCCAGCGTGTGGCAAGAAGGCCCTACTCACCATGAGAAAACCCGTTTCCTGTCCCTTTCCTCTTTTCTTCACCCACAGTGCTCTCTGGGTCTCCTCCTTGGCTTTGTGCCACCTTCTAGGAGCTCAGCATAGAGGCAGGATATATCTGATCAAAGATCAGACATGAAGAGTTGACGTTCCATCTCAAGATGAAATCCCTTAGTGTGTTCTGTGTTCACAAGGGAATGGAACAAGCTATTCCCAAACTGGGCCTACGTTCTAGGGCTCTTCTGTAAACCATGTGACCCTAACCAAGCCACTTAACCTCTTAGGGTGACAAGTTTCTATCTAGAACTTAAAGGGGTAAGACTTGACTGCTAAAGAGGTAGTATTCCATGAACAAACTAGCCAAGTAAATTGTGCCTACTGATTCATTCAGCAACATGTGGAAGCAAAGTTCAGAGCAGCTTAAGAAAAGTAAACTTCCCTGGCTCCCCAGCCAACAAGACGCAACTTCACCTGGGGTAAGCTGACAGCTGGGAGGACTGTAAGACTGAAACTTGTGTGAAATTTGGTGGAAGAGAAGATGGGATGAAGAAAAGAAGTGTCCCAGGGCAGATCAGCAGTCCCCCAAAAGTATGGTGTTAGTGTGAGAACAATGGCAGAGAAATGAGACCAGGCCCCTCTCCCAGACACAGACACTATTAGTAAACTTGGAGCGAGGACTTATTTCTGAGCCTTCTACACAGTTAGGTTGTATCAATCAACCCATGTAACGCCTGTAGATTCTATGCTAATTATATAACTTCAAGAGGTATTTCCGGTACCATCTACTATAGTCCCACTGGTTAATCATCTAAGATTAATGTCATGCTGAGGTGATCTTTCAGAAAATGTTATTTGTTATCCTTTATATTTAAGGTCCTACCCACATCATACAGTGGATAGGATTGAGAACTGAACAAGACCAGGAGCACATAAAAGGGGTGTCATCTTGTGCAAATCTACCTCTCTGAGCCTCCAAGTCCTGACCTTCAAAATGGAAATAATAATACTGACTTCTCATGTTTCTTGTGCAATTTAATAAAATACTTTAAGTATCTGAGACATTGCCTGGCTTATAGGAATTATTATAAGTCAACTCATCAATTGGAAAAAAAAAATCCTTTGTCAAATTGCATGTTTTGATTTGTACTCACTGGCTTTCACATAACGCATACATCCAAGTAGATTTCCCAATTCTCATTAAACACACACAGCACCCATTAGATCGGTTGTGTGGCCTGGGTTAAGCAACAAGAGTACAGATGGATAATTGTCTGTCTTCAACAAGCTCAGAGAGGAAGAGGAGAGAAAACCACGTGAACAAATAATGGCAATACAATGCAGTAAAGAGAACTAGTCACGGTGTGGAGGGAGCAGAGCAGAGGAAATAATTACCCATCTAGGGAGCTGGGAGAGCCTCTGTACAGGAAGTGGCATCTGAGACAGGCTGCTGTGGAGGAAGAGGAGTTTGCTAATCAATGTAAAGAAGATGGGGACATGCCGGGAGAGAAATCATCGAATCTGAAGGCACACTGTGTTCAGAGAACTACTAAATAGTTTCCAGCACCTGTCACAGCACTGAATGGGAATGCTGGAGAGGGACGTTCTAAGCGAAGAGAAAATGACACAGACTTCTTCAAAACAAGTGCAACCTGATTCTCCAAGCATTCCGTGTCCCAAAGATGACAGCAAACTCATACTCTGATAGAACAACCTCTGGAAGGAATGGTGTTAATTCCACTTCTTTTGAGGCCTGGAGCACGTTTCCTAATCATCTCTCATAGAATCCATGAGACCCAGAGCCCTGTGAGCGGAACAAATTCCCGTCCGGGGGAGCCTGGCTCCCCTACAATCAAGAGAACTGTGAACGGGACGGGTTTTATGGGAAGCTCGGTATCCCCACGAGGAAGCTGTAACTTGTGAAATTCCTGGAGAAGAAGAGAAGTCCTGAGGATGGAGGCCAAGGCCAACAGAAGGAGTGGCAGTGAGTTTAGCACTGGATGATACAAACCACAAAGAGAGGAGGGAGCCACAGGAAAGTGTCCTCGGGCTCAGGAACGGCTCCGGGTTCAACGCCAGGGAACACGCAGAGCAGCGCTTCCTTGGCCACCCCCACCCCCGAAGGAGTGCCCGCCACCTAACACAGCGTGCGTCACATAATCAGGGCCTTCCGAACACCAGTCACGGCTACTGACTCAGACCTGACACTGAGCAAACCTCCTCTCTTTCCCTCTCTGGCTCTTCAGCTATTACAAACAAAACAACAGCCATCAGCACCGAAACATATTATTCTACACGCATGTCACACAGATGTTTGGGTTAACCCACTAATGAAGGATCTTAAAGTCCTCCATATAAATGATTCTCTTCTGAGTTCCAAAAATAGATCACCGCATAAGCACAGTCTAGAAATGTGTGCTGTGTGTCCCTTTAAAACTTGGGAGTGGTGGAATTCTTTCTTTACCAGTCATTAGACTTCTGGTTGCCTTTTGAGAAAAGTGAGCAATGCCTCAAGTAACCAATGAAACGGTGAACAAAACACAAATACTGTCTTCCCAAACTACCAGGTTTATCTTGTGATGCACTGTAAATCCATGCCTTCCTTTCCTCCTGGCTGTGATTAAAGCTGTTTTTATTGCCAGGCATGTCAGAGAATCCATTGTGGATAATGAGATCCAGAGACCACTGCCATGAGCATTTGTCTGAGTTTAGCTGGTGCCTCAGACAGCCCCTCAGACTTCAGTTCTCACCGCCAGGCGCCAACGTGCTGTTCCTGGGAAGATGGCAGTGAGCTATAATTTGGGTCCTATGTTTGACCTTCCTTGCGACCTCAAGTGTGGCTATTGTATTAACGCTAAAGCCCCAGACGCTCCTGTTGTTGGACCACAGCCCCCCAGAACCGCCGTACCCTGCAGGTGCACGCAGTGCAGTTATCGTAGAGAAATGAAGATCCGTTGTCGTAAACATCACTGCGAAAGAGGCAGCTTCCAAACGGGAGATCGAACACTTTCCTCTGACCTAGAGGGAAGCAACGCAGAGTGTAAGCAAGTCAGAAGTCCAGGTGGTCCCACTGTGTCACCAGCAATTCCAACACAGGGCAGTTAAATATTCTAACAAGACCAGGACAATCCAAGGCACAAGAATAGAGCCTTGGGTCGGATGTCCCCAGTGGATCCTCAGGAGTCATTAGCTTAGAGAGTTTTTGTTGAAGAGAGTCTGCATACTCTAAGTTCAACAAATCTTTGTTATACAGGGTATGGCACAAATAAAACCCTCTTTTTATGTGCCGGTAATCTATATCAAATTTTTTATTACAAAATCATTAGCATTTAATTCTGTAACATAATAATATCATGCTTGAGTACACCAAGTGAAATTTTAGATCAAATGTTCAAATTGCTGTCCATCTCGTGAGAGACATTCACATATCCTACCAACCACACTCAATGTCATGACTTCTGCTGGACCCTTATTTCCACAGTGAACCAAGAGGACAGAGACATAGACATGCCCTCACGGAGCACTAAGTCTACTGGGGAAACAAACCCACAAAACATGACTTCAGTACAAATATATGGTAAGTTCTGGAAAGAAACCAATCTGGGAAGTGTGGGGGCAGAAAGAACAGAGAAGACTTCTCAAAGGATGTGATGCCTGAGTTACAATGAGGAAAACTACCCAGAAAATGAGTACTGAAAGAAAGAAGGCAAGAGGAGTCAAGACACCCCATGAAGGAAAAGATGAGCAAAAAGAAGGACTAATGACGAAGCCTTGCAGTTGAAGGAGTTGCAAGTCCATTGGCATAAAGGGCAAAGCTAACTTAAAGGGCTCATAGAGGCACATGTCCAACCTTGCGCAGGCATTGCATCTCTGTAAAATTAGCTTGTTTTGCCTTTTCCATATAATTGATCTACCTATGCTTCATGTATTTTGTAAAGTGGACTCAAATCCTTTTTGGCAAAGGGCAAGATACAGATATAGTTAAGCTTTCTTCTCCACCAGTCAAAATACAGGTTCTGAGGAAGCTTTTTCCCCTCTCAAAATAAATACCCCTTCCTGTTACTTGTACTACAATTATAGTAGGCAATATTGTTGCATGGATGGGTGGGTGGCTGGATGGATGGACAGATGGATAGATGGATGGATGCATCAGGAGATCACTGAACAAAAAGACTCTGCAGCAAGTTTATTCCTTACTCCACACCCAGATGTAACCAGTGGCTTAAATTATCCTCAATAAAATGTAAATTTTACCTAAAAATGTCTTAGCACAGAATCTGGCACTCATTAAACACCACAACAAGTGGCTGATGATATGTATTGTCATTATTAGTGGTCGTATAAGTCAAATATGATTCTGGGTTACATCACTCTGAAGGGGACAACGGGTGCTTTGTGTACATAGAAGTCTGACCAGGCCCTTCATTGAAATGGAGAAAAGAGAGGGAGAGAATGTTGTAACGTGAAAGACAGAGGCATGCCATGTGAATGGATCTTGGTGGAGGAAAAATTTAACAGCAAATCAGTGTCCCAATAGTGCAAAGTCTAAATTAGTCTAAGATTTCAGCATCTAGGTAGTACCCTTGTTTTTTTTCTTTCTGTATTCTTTTATGCATGGGTATGTTTCTTTTTACTCCCAAAGAACATAAAATCTTACCTTAATCCCAAAGTCATCATGGCCCAAAGTAAGATAAAACATTCAAAAAAGTGGTTCATAGGCTCCGCGTACAGCGTGATTTGAACCATTTCCGCATTATTCCACTGGGGCTTAGCCCCACCGAAAAACAGGTCTCATTTGGGAGAATTATGATTTTCAAGTTTCCTAAGACTTTCTGTTCCATTTGGAGTCTATTTAATGACCACAAATGGACAGAAAAATCTGCATTCAATACAATAGCCATTGCTCACATGAGAAACTTCTGTGCTGACTCAGCATATCCATGGTACTGGCTTAAAAGCATTAATCAATCCTGCTTATCTTTGAGGCCAGGCCCCTGACGCCACCTCCTCTGTGGTGACCTTTCTGCTTAGACAGAACACTGCTTCCACCATGACCCAGAGCATGATGATTTCGACCACAGTGAACTGGCCAATTCTACTTCAGGGGCACAACCCCAAGTGCATGTTGACAATCCAAGAAGCACACGTATCAGTGAAAATATCTTTAGTCAGGCATGTCGAAACAAGTCTCCTTTGTTCTTATCATTATTTCATATTTACTTAGAAAGTATATGTCTGCATATGCGTGTGTAGCAGGACGGGAAACTCTGAGATAGAGTTGGCAGTAGAATTCTCCAAATAGGAGAAAACTGCCTTAGTTAACAAGATACCTTCATTTGCTGGTTTGGTTGTAGAAAGACAGGGTCTTCGGGGTGTGGCTATGATAAACGGGCAATAAGTCAACAGGAAGCGTTGGAATTGGGAAGAACAAACTATGAAAGAAAGGAGAGAGGATTCAAGACAAGGGTGAGGACAGTAACTGGTGCCCAAATAAAAGGGACAAACAGTAAAATGCTCCTAAAGGCAAAAATGGCTGAGACATTTTCAAAACAAAGGAAGCTTAACATTTCCTTTTACATGTTCTCTGCTTCTCTATGAAGCAATCACCCTCGGTGACTGCAGACCAGGAAAATCTGCTACACCAGCCTTCAGTCAGTAGCACAATAAGACGTGAAAAGACTGGATGAGGGTAACTCTAAAATGACAAAATGAAGAAGGAAGAGGAAGAGGAGCAGGAGAAGGGAAAAAGGAAGGAAGGGAACAAAGAAATAGCAGGAGCAAAAACACAAAGCCAGCGGTGGCTTGGGAAAATAGTAGCCTCTTCAGGGATCCCTGGAAATTCTGGTGGGGTTGCCGGATGCTCTATTGTATTCATATGGTGGGTGAAGCTACTTTTATTTAAATCTTAAATAGTCTGACCTCCACTAACTCAAGAGGCTAAACATCACATGGAAGAAGCTGACATATGGATTATGAACAGAAGCCCAAAAATCGCGTGCTCTAGAAACTCCCCGTCGTGGACCGTCTCCTTGCAGCTGGCGGCATGAATGCTGCCCTCTGTGTCACCGGGTGGGGGGGTGGGGGCAGGTGCTGGGGGGCAGCGGGGGAAAGCACGGGCTCAGGAGTCACAGAGACCTGTGTCTCGGTATCAACCCATCACTCCCTGGCTGCGCCACCTTCCAGAAATCTACTTCCCTCTCAGGACAAGAAAACTAATAACTGTATCTGTATTACACAATGAATTATATAATATATTTAGTACCTATATATTGGGCTGGCCAAATGGTGCATTTAGGTTTTTTCCCATAAGGTAGAAGACACAGTTTTCATTTTCACCAATAACTTTATTGATTTGGATACTTTGAGTGTGTTGGCTATCTCCCACATGGTATAACATTGATTGTTCTCAGTTAATGTTTCAGTTTGATTGCTATCAACTTCAACTGGTCTACCCGACCACAGAGCATTGTCTAGTGAGAAATCTCCCACACAAAACTTCACAAACCATTTTTGACACATTCGATTAGTCATAGCACCTTTTCCATTCACTGCACAAATCTTTTATTTTTATTTTTTTGCATTTCAGTTGTGTTTTTACCTTTCTTGAAATACTAAAGCATAATACACTGAAAATGTTGCATATTTTCTTCCATCTCAAAAATGAAAATGGCTACACAAAAATTCACCAATTTTGATAAGTTTTTTAAAATGAATGCTGATATGACAGTTGTCACAATAGAATCCAACAAAATTGTTCTGAATGAAGTTAAAGACAACTAAGCGCTACTATAAGCCACCTTGGAGAAAAAAAGCAAATGAACTTTTTGGCCAACCCAATATCACAGCTTCTTAAGATTAAGTAAAAAGAAGCACATAAAACATTTCACATAGTGCTTAGTATCTGGTAAATATGCAATAAGAAAGAGCCAGTACTTCCTTTCTTGGCTATTATTCATTGTTCCCTTCCAAACCTCTTGTTTTTGGCATGTTATGCTTTTGCCTCTAAAAGTAACACTGGTCTATATTCCTCTGTGTGTTTACTTCACATGTTTTTAAAATCTGTTCCAACTTATCATCACATGCTCAATTAAAGAGAGCGTTTTCAATGCTGTCCTCCCAAAAGAGGGTATTTACTGCCCCAAGCTGTCTGGTGGGCCAGGTTTACAGACACAAGGGAGGACAGAGAGAAGCAGCCCCCACGCAGGCCTCAGTGCGGGGACAAGCCCTGCACCCACCTTATTTCCGTGTAACCAGAAGTAGTTGCCATGGACACAGAACAACCTGAGGACCCCAAGACAAGCATGTGGATGAACACCCTCAGCAGGAAACTCCAAGGACATGACATTGTCCTTTGACCTTGAAACTGTCACTCACCCAAACATTTGGGGCAGCACTGTCCCGGGGGGATGTGGCTAAGGTGCTGAGGACAGGAGAGAATGGGACAGACTTCTCGCACGCACTGTGTCCTGCCTCCCTGAAGAAAAGAGAGAGAGGTAAGTAAGCACATTTGGCAAAGTAAAGTGCATGTAGGTTGGATGGTCAAGGTGTCGGGACCACGCTGGGGCCTTCCCTGATGCTAAGTCCCTGGGGTGACTGCTGAGATCAGTGCAATCTCTCCCAAGCCTCCTCTGTCTTCCATACAAACTCCCAGCAAAAAGGCTGCCCGTCAAAAGACGATGACAGCATCTCCTCTCACCCCAGCCACCACCTCATGTCTGTCCTTCTGAAGACGAGCCAACTGTCTCAGTGTGTCTGAGAGTGGAGGCCTCCAGGACTGCAGCTGGGAATGTGTCAGGCAAACCAGGACAAGCTGGCCTCCGCTCCCAGCCCCCCGGCAAGCCAGGGAGCCCTTCAGGTTTTGCCAAGACGCTGCTCCTCGTTCGGGGCCCTCGTCTCTCCGTAGGTCCCACACACATCTTCTGCCAGGAAGGACCCCTGTCTGCCACAGCTTAAAGGCGCTGCTGGGAGGGCTCAGTGAGGTTGGGACGGGGGAGAGCCACTGATCTCCTCAAAATGGGTACACAAACAGCCGCTGTTTGGAAGAACAATTTCATTGAATTTACCAAGCTAACCTAACTGGTTTCCATTCACCAAGTAGAAGTATATGATGACTGATACTGAGAAGATTGGAAGAGCCTCCACGCGTCCTGGGAGAAGTCTAGAGCCTTCAAGTATTGTCCCTGCCCCGCACTGTGAACCCTCCAGCACCCATTACCTCTGACACCCATTCCTTCCTCTCGGAAGGCAAAGACGCAGTGCACTGATACTCTCCCCTCCTCCATCCCTGAGAGACCCCTGCTTTTCAAGCCTCAGCAACTTGTGACTGAATCTCTAGAAAGTGGGGACAGGGTTAAAAAACTGCTTTCCAGTCAATTTACAGCCGCCACCTTTGCAAGCCTAATGTGAAAACTATCCTGTGCAAAATGAATTGCTATCAAAGTTGTGAATAATTTCAATGTGTTGGCTTCTTGGGGATCTGAGGCAGAAATCGAATTAAGAGACCCTCCAGTATCGCTTGCCTCGGGCTGAGGATTTCTTTCTCAAGAGGCCTCAGGAAAGGAGGCACTCGCCTCAGAGAACCCTGGGCCTGGCGAGGAAAAAGACCCTTTTAACTGTCCCCACACCTTCTGCCCCGACACTGGACGTCAGCTATCCACGTCACATTTTGTCCCTTCCAAGCACACGGCCATCTCCCGGCGTCTCTGCCTTCTCTTCCTGTTCTTGCCGTTTTTATTATTACAGTTTATTTTTTGGTGGGGATGGATGAAAAGGGTAGGGTACATTATATCTTTTTAAATATTTATGATTTTTAAACCACTTTAGGGTTGGATTCTTCCCCAAACCAATAAAGAACATGTGAAAATACCACAAAAAGCTCTTCTGTTGTTTTTACATTATTTTCAGATCAGCAAGAATCACTAAAAAGCTCCTAAGAATCCCTGGCTGGCCCCGGTGAGGTTCCTCACTCAACTCCGCACAATCCTGAAGTCCGGCCTTTCATCAGACTCCAGGGACCGTGCACGAGTTGAGGCCAGACTCTGAGGTCTGCCCCAGCGAACATAGAAGCCACAAAAGCCAAGTCCAGAGAGAGGACATAGTCTGCCCTTAGCATTTAATTTCAAAGAAATCTATCTGCAAACAATGCTCTGAAATCTGGAAGCCTCAGGCCACACAAGGCTACTAGTGTGTCGGCTTCTCTTAGGTGCACAGAGAATATACTCTTTTCAGCGATATTCTCTGTTCTTGCGGGGTCAGCGTCTATTTTTCATGCATGTTTTAAAACTAAAAAAAAAAAAAATGTTTTTAAATGTTGCATAATTGCATAGGAGTGAACTTGCCCGGCACTTCGGAGAGCTGGCAAAAGATTATGTGGACTCCAGTCGTTTTCCTTACAATAAGGTCAAAGAGTGAATTTTGCATACATAATCCAACGGCAGTTTGTGTTTCCCTCGAGTCTGTTCAAGTAACTTGAACTCCTATCTGGGTTTGCTGGTTTGGTCAAGTTTTATTTTGTTTGGGCTGCAGCGCTGGGGCACAGCCGCGGTCCCCAGGCTGCATCCCCGTGGATGGCTGCAAAGGGAGCCCCAGGCCCTGTTGGCTCCCAACCTGCTTCTAGGATTTCAGCTCCACAGGAACTCTGGTCAAACTACAAGCTGTGGCTACGCTGTAAACGAAAAAAGTTAAAATAGCAGAAGTAAACATTTCTGTTTCTAAAAATGTTCTCATTCTTACTGTACCTGCACTAACTTGAGCTTTGTAGTTGGGCTTCCCTGACTCAACTCTCTTCCCCAAATTCATCCTGGAAGGTTCCATCCAACCAGGACTCCTTACCAGCATCCATCCATCATTTCACTATTTGATCAAATAGGTAAGGCCTATCCTATGTTGGGATAGGGCAGTGAATGTAACACACAAAAGTCACTCTTTATGGAGGCTGTACCACCACGGACCATGCCCCCACGCTAAGGTAAAGGATAACTCGCTCACTACTGCATTCAGGATCAAGTGTAACCTACTCAGGCTAAAAGTTGCTTGCTAATATCTACTTATTTTTTTGTCCTAACACAGAAAACTACTTGTATTAGACTCTGGCAGTTAGGGTTGGCCCTATGACTCAGTTCTGACCAACAGGAGGTAGGTGAAAATAATATACCACGCCTGTAGGCGTTGCCTGTTAAAGTCTTTCACACACAATGCTCCACTCCCTCTCCACAGGATGGGTCATCAGCTGAATGGAGGGGACTTCATGACCTTTGCAAAACATGGAAAAAGCCCACTTTCCTGAGTTGCTGTATGCAAATCTACCCATTCAACACCTACTGTTACATGAGCAAGAAAAAAAATTGCAGCATTAAAATATTCAGACGTATTACTTCTTCATTACCAGTTAGCCTACTTTGTCAAGATACCCATAACTTTCTTTCCAGGCTTCTTCCCTCCCAACTCCAACCTGAACACAGGGGTCCAGGTACCTCATTTCTTTCTTTGTTGCCCTCAAGCACATCTTACAACTCCCACCTTTTTTATACATATCTCCTTCCCTCCCCGCCCCCATCCCTGACCCCTATGGAAATCCTGCTTCATCCAAGGTCTGTCTCAAGCATCTTGTCATCTGTGACACCTGCTAGATGCGTCCATGTTCCAGGAACCTCCTCCATCTTCCCGTATCTTTCCTTTTTTCATTTTTTATCTGTACTCCTATATTTTTAACACATACATTTTAACTCTGCAAGATGACACTGGTTTTGCCTTCAAGCTAGACTATTATTGGGCCAGGGACCAGTTCTTGGAGCCCAACATCCTTCAGGAAAGTTATGGGCTCAAGGAATGTTTCAGTAGAAGTTTACTGCGTGAAAGACAGAGCCACTGCTCCAATGGACTCCAGGCCACAGCTGCATCCTTCAGACGCCTTTAACTCCAGGAAGCTGATGAGGTGTGGTTCAGGGCTGTGGGCCTCCATTTACTTTTGTATCCCCTTGAGTTTTGCACATTTTGGGTAACAGTCAAATGTTTCTTGGTGCTGACACTGGAAAAATGAACACTCAACTTGAACTTGTAAAGCTGATAGGATTCCTAGGTTCCCATGTATTTTGTTAAATGTTTGAAAATTTCTAAATAGTTTAATAGTCCTGGCTGGTGTGGCTCAGTGGATTGGGTCCTGGCCTGTGAACCAAAGGGTTGCTGGTTTGATTCCCAGTCAGGGCCCATGCCCGGTTTGTGGGCCAGGTCCCCAGTGGGAGGCGCGCAGAGACAACCACACATTGATGTTTCTCTCTCTCTCTTTCTTTGTCCTTTCTTCTCTCTCTAAAAATAAATAAAATCTTAAAAAAAATAAACAATTAAAATACATAGGCACTAATGACTACAGCTGATCCTTGAACAACTCAGGGGTCAGAGCTGCCAACCTCCTACCAAGTTAATCTTTGTATAACTATTACATTCTCATCTGGTCAACTAAGAAAGGAATGCCAGGAACTTGCATAGTACAGGTGAGTTATGATTTTCACCATTTGTCTTTTTCTGGAAAGGTGAGCTTGCCCTTTAGCAGTGGTCCTTTGTTCTAATCGCATCTCTGAGTATTTCTCCAAAAGGAGCTGTTTTTACAAGAAAGACTTGAAACTTGTCCCAGGTCTCTTTTCTGCTCCTTAATTTTTGTTTTAGCTGATTCAGTCAAGAACACAAGGCTTTGTGTCAAAGTTTACCCCAAGTAGCAATTATTGCGTAATAAAAATCTGTCTTCCTGAGTACAGTGACGAGCGCAAGATCATCACACCACAGCCTTGTGCCTGCAGGATGTTTCCCCACCCCTGAGGACCTCTGAGACATGGGGGCTGGAAAGCATCCTGTAGCATGTGACAGGGCGCTCATCCCTTGACCAGGATGCAGAGCCTGGCTCTTCCACAGGAAGCAAGAAGGAGAGCAGTGCACTGCCAACCAGTTACAACTAGCCAGCTACACTTGAGCACTCTCTAGGGAGATGTTTTTTCCCCCACTGTTTAATTCTTTGAAGAGAATGGGGTTCTCTGTTGATTCCAGTTGAAGGGGGTACAGAGGGACAAGAACACGGCTGGGGCCGGCATGGGGGGGAAATGCATCCTGAGTGCAAGAGTTTATGTGTGACCCAGAACTCTTCCGTCTTAACACACAGAGGTGCAAAGCTGATTTGTGAGCAGAGCACTCACTCTGAATTACAAACTGGGCCAAAAACGTCACACACAAATAAACAGATGTCTTTAGCCATACCTCTCTTTGACCTGGATATTCATTGTGGTAAAGTTTCAGAGCCTGACAGTTACTTCCAGGGGAAAAGGTCTTGGTACTTGGCTTTCCCTGTTCTTGGCCAGAGCAGAAGAGGACATGAAGCTGAGGAGGGGCAGCATGTGAGCTCTCCAGCTAAAAGAAGAGAAGGAGGTTGGACGAGGGGAGCGGTGACACCCCAAATTGCAGTGGGTAATGAGCACACTCAGAGAGAGA